CAGCGGGTAGGCGGTTCCATGGGTTTATAACCCTGTGGGTGAAATGGAATTTCCTGGGGGTATACCATACTCCTGGTTACAAGGGGTATACTATACACTGTGAAGTATGGTGCACCTCTGTGTATATGCCGTTGGTCTTCCAAAGGTGATGCTCCGAAATGCTTCAGAAAAAAATATACGATAAACCGTAAGACATGCGTACAGCCAATAAATAATAATAATAATTATTATAATTATTATTATTTATTAATTAATTTATTATTATTATAGCTGCTGCTGCTTTTTCCGACAACAAATATCTGTATCTATATTTTCAGGACGCATAGCAGGATTTATCGCAGTCAGCCCTCTTCTCTTTCGCGTGGGACCAAGTTTTCAATGGATCCGAATAATATTATTTTCTTCATATTGGCATTCAGTGAGAGTCATCTTGTAGCCAGGGTGGAGCTGTCCGCGCCGCTCACCCGTCCAGTCACTGCCTAAACCCAATAGTTCTTCACCTCACTGACCAAGTGACGTGAATATCTCTCTCTATTTTTGTAGTGAGGGTAAATGATCATTGAAAAAGGATTTATATGTTGTAATTTTTGGGGGGACTTGCTTATATTATCAGGAATGTTTACAACATTTATTTGTAAACTTGTTAACCAAAATTTAAATTTGTAAATAAATTTGTAGTTCGGTCTTTTATTGTAAGTTAAACGGTCAGGTCTCTCTTATGTTTAATGGAACTTTGGCTCTTTGGTCCCGACTCTCAACTGTCAGGCAACTGGTGTACAGAGTCTTGATCCTACTGGGATCTATCATATCAGATAGAAACTATAGAAACTACATTTCAAGCTGTGTATGGAGTCAGCCTCCAGCACATCACTGCCTAATGCATTCCACCTGTTAACTACTCTGACACTGAAAAAAAATCTTTCTAATGTCTCTGTGGCTCATTTGGGTACTAAGTTTCCACCTGTGTCCCCTTGTTCGCGTTCCACCCGTGTTGAAGTGTTTGTTTTGTCCACGTATGTCCCATGTCCCTGATCCCTCCCGTGTCCCTCCCATGTCCCTGATCCCTCCCGTGTCCCTCCCACTGGCAATCAGCTGTATCTCCCACAGCAACTGGGTAGGTTATCTAATATTCATAGACTTTCAGAGCAGCCCGGCCTTTCCAGTTATCACAATGGACTGAAAATAATGTAGTAAATTGCCCGAACCCAACCCAACCCAACCCAACCCAACCCAACCCAACCCAACCCAACCCAACCCAACCCAACCCAACCGAGGACCCGCGACTAGAAAATGTGGTTGTGAGTCGCTCTGGATTTACACTACATCATAATTTGACGTCAAGATGCCATGTATTACTCGAGGCGACAGGTTGATCAGAGTGCCCACTGAAAGCAACCCAAATGTTACAATAGTGTCTCCTTGTAGGCTTGGGTGTGATCTATAGAGTCTCCAGTGTCCCCTTGTAGGCTTGGGTGTGATCTATAGAGTCTCCAGTGTCCCCTTGTAGGCTTGGGTGTGGTCTATAGTCTGTGGTCTATAGAGTCTCCAGCAAAGCAAAACCGGGTATTTCGCTAGGCAGGTAGTCCCTAAGGCGTAGTTGCTGGCAATGACGAAACCAAAATTGACGTTACAGTCACATATGTGGCGCCTGTGACCACACCCTTACTGTGACCTGCTGTCGGAATAAAACTTGACAAAACTCCTGCAGAATCTAATATTGTTAACATCATTCGGTTCCCAACTGCTATGGTAACATTTAATATATATATATATATATATATAATATATATATATATATATATATATATATATATATATATATATATATATATATATATATATATATATATATAAACGAGAGATCTGATAAATATTTATATTGTATAACACCAGATTATCTCGTGGGGGGTGGGGGGGAGACATGATTGTAGGGTTAGTAAGGGAGAGGGTGTATGGTAGTGGTGGTGGTGGTAGTGATACTGGTGGAGGGGTTGTGAATGACAGTGAGTAGGGCGGGGCTGGTAGTGATACCATGTGTATTGACCCTGGCGCCACACCCCCCCCCCCCTTACCCTCCCCTCCACACAATCCTCCCCTCCTCCCCACAACACAATCCTCCCCTCCTCTCCCCACAACACAATCTTCCCCTCTCCTCCAATTCCCTTTTGCTGGTGGTGACGATGTTGGTAGTGTTGGTGCTGCTACTGGTGGTAGTGGTGATGCTGGGTGGGAGGGAGGGGGGGCAGATGTGGTTGTGGTGGTAGTGTGGTGGTAGTTTTGGTGGCGTTAACGGCGGTTAGAACAGCAATGATGGTCATAGTAGAGGTTACGATGGTGGTAGTGGTGGTTGTCGTTGTAGTTCAACTAGTGGTCCAAGAGTCACCCGACCCTTCACTCAGTCTTGTAATCTAAATTCCTGTGTAATCACCAGGAGGAAGCCCTAAACTAGGAGGTGCCAGAGTAACACGCCCGCTGACGCCCCGCACCCTCTCTTGTGTGT